TTTTCTCATAATTAAATGAAAGAATGCAATGCCACAGTTTTAAATAATCACTGAAGGATGAGAAAAACCAGAAGTCTCAAGGACATACCTTAATTTGGAAAAGAAGGCAATTCTACTGTCAAATAAGAGAACTGATGCTTGAAAAGAAAATATAAATAAACAAGTGATGTGCAATTGGAAGACAATGGTGCTGGAAAGGAAATCCATTCCATATGAACCACAAAGTAGACCACTCCTTTTCAATCTTTCAAGTTACGAAGACTTTCTTGTCTTCAGGCATCATTCTATTAAAGCATGTACCCTGGAGGGGACTGGTTTGCTTATCATTCATTCATTCCCAGCCAGCAAACTAGAGCAAATCATTTCATGCTACATATATACCAGAGTAAACCCGTAAGAACTTTGTAACTAGAAAACAAAGCCAAGCTTTCAGATAAGAAAAGAAGGGACCAAAAATTAGACCAGTCACTTTTAATATGTAGTTCTTTCCTCCTGGCATCTTGCTTGTTACAACATACATAAGCTACAGAAACCTATGAAATCATGAAGGGAAAGGAGACAGAGTCATGTCTGGGAGGTTCTCATGTACACAACTCACAATGTCCTCAGGAGAAAAAAATCCTGGTGTTATTTTTTCACATGCTTATATCTATTGTCTCATTAACTGCAAATGACTTTGAATATATACTCTTCAATGTGTTAACCAAGTATTTTTCTCTTACATAAAACATGAGATTGTCAAGCTTCGAGGGCTATACAGTTGACTGCAGCCACCGAAAGTCATTGATTCCTGCATTTATTTCCTCCAGATTTCAAATCTATTTTTCATGCTGCTTGTCACATTGGGTTGACATGTGTCACAAGATGCTGCTACACACTGAAGTGATGCATAACCATCACAAACTTTTGAAAGAATAATGCATTTTAAATGTTTCTGCATTTACTTTGATGTACACAGAGGCATGTTAAGCATTAACATTTATGGGAGTAATATAAATTAATTATATCTCAATTAGACCAACAAATGGTAATAACAAAAATCAAAGAAAGAGGCATTTCTGATCCATTTTTGCATATTTCAAATATATTAAACTAACACTTTTCTTTTTAAAATGTCATTGAAAAGTTAGCAGATAATAACCTTTCAACCTTTGTCTTGTTATCATGGATTCTTGCATTTCAATCCATGGGATTCAAATTTAATTGTGGTACTGATTTTCTCTGAGCTATCTGGAGACCCTTTCGTTTACAAAGGATCAATTTTTCTCATCTTTTAAATCTTGCTTCTTCTCTGAAAATTATTATGAGCTACAGGAAATGAGGACTACAAGAGGAAAGAAAACCACTTTAATCCAATAATATAACATTTATCTGAGTATCCCTGTAATAACACACACACACACACATGCATACATGTGCATCCACACACACTCTTGCATGCATGTATATACATATAATGAGTCTGAATTGGTGCATAACTGTCATACAAATTTTGTATGTGTATTCCACTTAAAAATGAAACAATAATAATGAGTTATGTTGATATAGTAATATTGGTACAAGGCAAGAGACAGAGTTTGCTATAACCTGGTGACCCATGGTCTAAGAAGGAAATCTAGTGAAAAGAATGTAACAACAATAATTACAGAATAAAAAATCATGAATTCAAGAGGGGTCAGAGGAGGTATGGGAGGAGGAAGAGTGAAGGATAGAATTGATACAAATACAGAGTACACATGAAGGTCTCAAATAAACTTTAAAAATGACAGACTCTTCATGTCATACAATTCCTTTCCATATCAACATATCTGCAGTACCCACCCCTCACACACACACAGTAGTGTCTGCCCTCAGGTCCAGGTAAAAGCACAGATAAAAAGCTGCTATGATCTTCTCATTGGGCACCGTTAGTGTGTGTGCATGAAAACTAAACAAAATTGGGATTGGAGAGATGGCAAGGATGTAAATCCCTTGCCATGGAAGCATGAGAACTACAGCCAGTAGCCAGCACCCATGTAAATTCTGGCTAGGACTGACAGCCCACATGCAATTACTGTGCTCAGTTAGTTGAGAAAAGGAATCCCCTGGACAAACTGTCCAGCTAGAGGAGATAGGGTGAGAGGCTCTATCTCAGTAAATATGGTGAAGAATGACTGGGAATGTTCCCTCATGTCAACCTTTGACTCCCACAAGCACACTACAGTGCACACACATCTATGCCCACACAAATGAAATCACACATACACACAAGCACACCACGTACACAGACATGCTCACAGAATAAAAAAATAATATTAGACTCGAAACAAAAAAGTGTTTGACATTAATAAAGTTAGATACTAATTTTTAATGTTATTACAGTGCCTCTCTTTGTTTTCAGCTGTTTGAAAAGTAATTTATTCACTTCATACTCCTTATGCAGGATAGTATTTACGGTTTTTTAGACTTTGTATTATTACTATTATTATTTGTTTTTGTTTGCTACATGGTCTGAAGGTGTCTATGTAGTCAAGGATGTAGTCCATGATAATGCCAAACTCATGATCCTCTTATCTCTACCTTTCAAGGCTCACAGGCCCACACTAATGCCATACCTACCATTTGGGTGCCATTTGCATCAACTCCTAACACCTGCTGTTACTACTGCTGCACAAGTATAACCTATTAGGTCGCCTTGCAGACAATTGCCAATATTTGAAGTACAGACCTATCAAACACAACACTCCCACATACATCTACTGACATCTGTAGTGTCCCCTTGCTAAGTCTGGCAACTTAAACAGGTCACCACTCCTCACTTGCTTCCCCTGGTCCTTCCTACCTTAACTTGGTTCCCTCACGTTCTCCCTTTAGGTCTCTGCTTCTCGGATTCTTTGTTAAAATACACTCTCCTGGAGTAGCAAAAGCAGAAAAAGAAGTTTGGGACTGTGTCCTTCCTAAGCAGAAAAGAAATGTATAAAATCTAGTTTTTGTAGTTCAGTTATGTAGTTACCTACAGTCCCCACTGTCTGGAATAGTGCATTGAATCCCCCTTCTGCTTTCTTTACTATTATGTTTCTGACAATGGGCACCACTCTTGAATACACACACTGGAGACTTCCTTTTCATGATCAATAATCTGGTATCAGTGACATTTGCCTTTCTTGTTACCCATAAAAGCAACCACACATAATACTGCTAATTGGCTATTCCTTAAATTGGATCATGTCTCTATCACCTATATCTTCCACCCAGAACTAGTTTTATATAAGGTCAATTGCTTCTTTTATAATCCCAAAGAAAACTCTACTTCCATGTTATTAGTCATCAGTTAGTTCCAGGAGCCACTTTTCTTTAATCCAATCTTATCAATAAGCACTTGGGTGCTTCAGAGAAAGAGTCTCATAGATGTCATTATAGGTCAAGGTGTTACCCCCACTGACACCCAAGTTGGAATCTATTTTAGGGAGGGGTTTGGAGACAGGGTTTCTCTGTGACTTTGGAGGCTCTCCTGGAACTAGCTCTTGTAGGTCAGACTGGTCTCAACTCAAGGTAGAGTCCTTTGAAGGGAACAAAACTTTCCTAACTTAGCAAAACCTAGGGGTTATTTGCAAAGAAGTATTTCTTTTACTGTGTGTGTGTGTGTGTGTGTATGTGTGTGTGTGTGTGTGTGTGTATTTCATATAGATCCAATTCAGGTTTTAATATATAATAGCATTCAAAACTCATTTGAATTCCAGGCATGGTGATTTATACCTGTAATTCTAGCACTTGGGGAGGCTGAAATGAGACGATTAGGAGTTGAAGGCTGCCTCACAACAAACTAACCAACTGACAACAACAAAATCATTTTCTATTACATTCTCTGTAGAACAACAATAGCTTAGACATGTTTGTTTGTATGTTGAGACAGGGTCTCATGCAGATCATAATAACACGCATGCCCACTATAACACCCATAGACCACTCTTGCTATAGAGCACAGCCTTGAATTCTTGGTTCTCCTGCCCTCAGCCACCTCAAGTTCTAGAATTATAGCACATGCCCAGCACTGTTTTATTTAACATTCTCTTTTCTTGTCAATAGAGATTGGCATATGATTATTAAAATTACACTGTTTAGTCAGAAAAAAACCCTAAATGTTCTCTGTAGGAAAACAAGCATTAACATATAGTATAATCTAATTACTATGAGACTATACCTGGTCACAAAGTGAAACTCCATGGAAATATCAAAATGATTGATTATAAGCTAATATGTACTATCAAAGGGTTTAAGATCTCTTCTGAAGAATTGACTATGTAGGACAAGTAGAATGTAGACTGGTCATTTAAAGATATAACATCTATGAAAACAATAAAGTCTAATCAATAGAAAAACATAAATTCTTGAGACACAATCCTCAACAAAAATAAAACTATAAAGAAATGAATCTTAAGACTCTGTGGTCTACATCAAAATATACATGACTGGGCTGAAGACAAGGCTAAGAATTTATGAGAGATTATTTCTTTTCCAAAGTAAACAAGTTGGATATACAGCACCCATGTCTGGCATCCCATAACACCCTGTAACTGCAGTTCAAGGGGACCCAACTCCCTCTTCTGACTTCCTTGAGCTCTAAAGTCACATACAAACCATGAAAATTTAAATTTAAATTAAAAATAAACTTTACAGGCATGGTAGCACACACCTTAAATCCCAGCTCTCAGGAGGCAGTAGCAGGTGTATCCCTGTGAGTTCAAAGCCAACCTGTTCTACATAGTCAGTTCTAGACCAACCAAGGCTACATAGTGAAACATTGTTTCAAAAAGTAAATTAATTTAAAAACAACCTGATTAATCTATGGAAAATCTATTAATTTATTCACAGTGATATTGATATTTAAGTAGTGTTTACCAAGTGTTAGTCTCTATACATGGGAAGTGAGAAGAAAATCAGTGCTCTCCAGAGTCTTGTGCATAGACACAGTCTAGTAGGAAGTAGAATCAATAAATAAAGGCAATCACAAGCATGCTTACCCAGTAACAACCATGATTCACCAGTCCATTCTGTCTGAATGTCTTGTGAGAACACAAACCACTCCTATTCCTGTGTAAACTGTAGACATGGAGGGAATATGAACTGTCAGATTTCTACGAAACCCCCAAGAATCTCATGCACTCACAGTCCCCACAGATCCCACCACATGGATTTTCCTCTCTCTGAAGTGACACAGCTTCTGCTCCATTTGACATGAGAGTTGAAGGTTTTGTTTGCAGTCGTTTGCTACTTTGCTGTTTTAAAGTCCCAAAGACACAGCATGTAGGGAAGAATCAGTGCCCATCATCATTTCACCATGCTCCCGCATTCTAACTCTCCCTGCTAAGTTCCTGTCTACCCAGACACAAGTCCTCCTCACTACCCATATAAAAATTTCTTAAAATTTAAAAACCTTTCAAACTGTAGAGAAAAAAATAAAGTGAGCAAAGTCAATAGACTTCCCAGAAAAAAAGAATTGGAAATGAATGCTGTGGTGTCACAGTTTAAAAGTGAAATGGAATTCATTGCCTTAAATTTATGAATTGCTGCAGTATAGACTGGGAATCATGTGGGACAAGGTATCCAGAGAGAAGAGTGGAAAACTGGGGAAAGGAGAGAAATGAACCAAGAGAGGGGACCCTATGATCTGACTTCACCAACCTCAGGAGTGGGAGGAAAATACTGGAGATTAGGGAAAGTATTGCCTGAATCAACAGAAATGTTGATCAATCTCCATGGTTTATGGAAGACTAGGAATGGTCTTTATTCTCACAAGCTGCAGCTGTTGGAACACCTCCAGTTTACAAGGTATCAGCCAGCATGTTCAGGGTGAACTGTAATGTGCCTCATTAGTAGGAAACATTCTAGACTAGAGTAACCACACACCTGGTTATGCCTAATATATCTGTAAAGTAAGATTTGGAAGGATCAAAAGCTTAACTAGTCCCATACCATTACCCATAATGTTAAATCAGTTTTCATTGAAATCTGGGTTGCTTAGTTTCTGGTTCTGCTGTTGGTTTTTAACTCTGACACAAGCTGGAGTCATCTGGGAATAAGAAAACTCAATTGAGAAAACACCTCCACCAGATTGCCTATAAGCAAGTCTGCAGGAAGGCATTTTCTGAGTTAAGATGAATATGGGAGCCGGGCGTTGGTGGCACACGCCTTTAATCCCAGCACTCAGGAGGCAGAGGCAGGCGGATCTCTGTGAGTTCGAGGCCAGGCTGGACCGATGGCCTCCAAAACAGAGAAACCCTGTCTCGTAAAACCAAAAAAAAAATGAATATGGGAGATCACAGCCCACTGTGGACAGTGCTATCCCTGGGCAGGTAGCTCTCGGCTACAGAAGAAAGGAAGCCAAGAAAGCCACAGAGAGCAAGCAAATAGGCAGCACACCTCCATGGCCTCTGCTTTAGTTCTTGACCCTGGTCCCTGCCCTTCCTTACCTGACTACCCTCAGTGATAGACTGTGACCAGAAAGCTGTAAAATGGATAAACCTCCTCCTCCATAGTTTGCTTTTGGTAATAGTATTTATCACAGCAATAGAAAGAAAAGTAAGATGATATTCTAAAACATTCAATGACATATGAAAACGTTTATATAAATATAGTAGGGAAATATAAGTCACAAATAAAAAATAAATTAATACAAATTAACCTAGAAATTGTAGATGATAAAACATACAGTCTTTGAACAGTTGTTAAATTACTAGACTGCTATGCAATATATCTTCTAGGAAGTAGAAGAGCAGTCGAGCATGTCAAGATGTACATTCAAATCAAATTTCTAATAATAAAGGCTTGAGTATCTGAAATAAAAACAGTACTGTGATTATCAGTAGATTGGGGACTACACAAGAAAAAATTAACTAACCTAAAGGTATGGTGACTGAAACTATACACAATGAAATGCAAATAAAACTAAATAGACTATAGGAAGTAAAGAGAGTGTCCATAGGCAGTGGGAAAACTTTAGGCAATCCACTGTGTATATAGGGGGAAAATAGAATAATAGAGGAAAACATCTGAGTAAAACCAGTCAAATACTTCCCTCATTTTAGGAAAGTTAATAAAAGCCTACACAAAACAAGTTAAGCACTAACACTTGAAAGAATAATATAATCTAATTGCTTAAAAGAGAGAAACAAACATCTTAAAGGCACCCATTCCATAGAGATTAAAGAATAATGACAGCATATTTCCTATTGAAATAACAAATCCAAAAAAAGTGGATCAATATTTATACATTCCTGGAAAAAGATATCATTCAAGACCACATCTATATGTGGTCAAATAAGTTTTCAAAACTTAAGGAAAATTATAACATTTCAGACATAAAAATGTTTAAAGAATTTGTTACCAGTTGATCCTTCACAGCAAGTATTATTAAAGACCTTAAGAAAATGTTATGGACTGAAATGTGGACTATAAAAAGGAATGAAGAACACTAGAAATAAGATAAGCCCTTTGGATAATAAAGTGGATGTTACAAACTAAAACATGATAACCATAGATGATAGTGTGATATGAGTTCCCAAGCAGAGTGTCTGCAATGGAGTTGTTTAGGGCCAGTTTCATTGTTGCCTATGGACTCAGTTATGCAAGGTGTCAAAAGTGAATGGAGACGTAAAGGGATTGAGTTCTCTACAGCTTTGGGAGCAAAAGGGAATTTTACCATAGGATCCCCACCACTTTTCTCCTTAATCTCATGCTTGAGGGAGCATGAGGGTAGTTTGTGTCTGCAACTGACCAGGACTTGTCCCTCACTCACATCTGAAACTTTGAGTCTGGAGCAGAAGAGGAGTAAATAATGAACACCCAAGTTTCTGAGAAGAAACGGTCTATGAGTACCTCTTGGGGTAAGTCATAGCTCTGATTAGGGGGTTGGCTGTGGATGTTGTCCAACAGAACCACCAAGAGGGTTGGGGAGTTGTAGAGAAAGCGCATAGAAGTGAAAGACTTTCCACTCAAGGTGTTGTACACAGTTCTTTAGGGCACAGTTTCTACATTAGGAAACCATATTAGCAGGTCTTGAGCCCATAACTGAATGTGAAAGTTATGGAAAATGTAGCAAGAGTAAGATATTCTGAACCTATGACAAGCAAAAAATAATTCAAAATCAAATGCAATATGGAATCTAACCTGTCTGAGACAGCAATCATCATGGAGCATCACATGGCTTCACTTTTGCCATGGTTTTGAATGTACATACTTTTCACTGTGAATGCCCTTGAGGTACATTACATCAACTGTCACTGCCTAAGTATCTCAGAAACCATCCAAGACTACTGTACTTCGGGGCTCAAAGTGTTTTACTGGGGTCATAGTGTTTTACTGGAGATACAAAGCTTTCTGGTCTTATAAAAAATGATAGTTTAATTACAGAAAGTAAAGATTTTACAAATATCTTTCTGCTATCATTCATCAGCATGCAAATATAAAATAAGTATATCTTTGAATGATAAACCTCCTTTTATGCTACACATTTATTAAAAGTAAACATTCTTAATGGTGATAGCCCTAAAATTAAAATGTAGATCAATTTGTAAGAATATTGAAGAAGTTTTAAACACTGCAACATCAGAGGTTCAGCCAGGGTTAATTCTTTGTGGAAAAAGAAACAATCACATTCTACCATTAGTATGCAATACGCAATAAATTATATCTATGTCATAGAATTGTTATTAAAATAAATTTCTTTTTGATTTGCTAGTAGTAAATGTTTGTTTATGCTCCTATTTTGTACAGCTATATATAAGGGGTCATGCAGAACCTCTCACTTGGTAAGCAGTCACCAGCACAAACCAACTACGAAGCTCTAGTGCAGAAAGGCATTGGCCCACATACAAGAATTGCAGGAAAGCTGTTCAGCAATGGGAGGTCTTGAAAGTGCCCTAAGAATCAGCTTTAGTATTTGGGAAACTCAAAGCTCATAGTCATTAGGTCAATAATTACCTTCACTTTCATCAGCTTTCTCCAGTGACTAACATTTCATCAGGAAACAAAGCAAAGTTTTCAAAGCAGAAGAAGCCCCTAAATGAGAAAGAGATGAAAATCAGCTACTTCCCTGGAAGCAAAAGGCTAGCAGTGAGGGGTTAAAATGTGGGGGTTTGGATGAGGATGTTCCCTTACGCTCTGTGTTTGAATACTTGTCCCAAGTTGGTTAAAGTTGTGGGTGGGAGATATGGCCTTGTTGGAGAATATGGGTCACTGGGAGTGGGTTTCAACAGCCCATACCATTCCCAATTAGTGTATCCTTGCCCCCAACTCTTGCTTATGGATCAAAATGTAAACTCTCAGCTAAATGCCTATCTGCCTATTGCCAAGCTCCCACCATGATGGTGATAAACTCTAACTCTCTGTAACCATGAGCCTAAATTAAACATTTTCTTTGGTAAGTTGCCTTGGTCATGGTGTTTTGTCATGACAATAGGACATTAGGTATAAGAAAAATAAGAGGCTAACTGAAAAGCAGTTATAAACTAAGGTAATGATACAGTTATATTGCAGTAAGACCAACAAAGCCATAAAGAATAGACCAGGACGGCTCTTCCTTGTCCTTGACTTCATTGTGACATCATCAGCCATGTAAAATTTCCTTCTCCCACCATGCATCTGACAACACACCACATCCAGAAAACCTTACCGAAGACAGAAAGGGGGACTCAGCACTGATGGGGAACAATCCTGACACCCTGCTGGGACCCCTCATCTTCCTCTCAACTCATGACTCCCACTATAAATCACACCTGGACCTCCTTTCTTTTAAGCTTGCATATCCAAACCCCACAGTGGGGCTTCTGAGAAACCTACATTCAGTCCTTGAGGGTGCACTTTTGTTATATAATAAAGTTTCTCCAAACTGCTTATATTGTCTTATCTCTGAATTCTTTCCTTAATAGAGGTAAGAATATATAAATACTGGTTAGAGCTCTCAGTCACCTCAAGTAATAAAAATGTGTGAAGAAATCCTATGTGGTGTAAATGCCTTTTATCCCAGCACTCAGAAATCCGAGGCAGGAAGATCAAGAGTTCAAGGTTAACCAGGGCTACAGAGGGATATTTTGTCTCAAAAAATCTAAAAAGGAAAGGGAGATAATTCTTCAGATAGAGTGTGTTGAATTATGCTTTATAGGAGCAGACACCTGGCTTCAAATGCAAAGCTAAGTCTATTAAAAAGAAAGACATACTTTATATCACATTTTAGAAAGACATTTGAAAATCTGTTGAATTTTGAAAAGAAGCATTAAACATGTCTATGTATAGAGGTATGGTCAGATTTTAAAGGAACACACAAGGATATGTTGTTTCTTCTGAAGAAAAGTATCAAACACCTAGGAAAGAAACACTGTTTACCTCTGTATTTCTGCTGCTATTTGAATCTTGCTTTTTCTCTTACTAGCTACATTGTGGCAGTCATTGTGGGTCTCTGCACATTCCCCGATTTTTCCTTTTTATCAGGAGAGCCCTGATTTTGCTCAGGGCACCAATGTGCTCAGCCCCAAGTGAAACACTGAATATGGTCAACATAAGTAATAAAGAGCTCCAACCCTGATTTCTTGCCCACTCCTTCCCTGAAAGGGAATAGTACATTCATTTGTTAAACAATAAGCAGGATCCAGAAGGCTCTCATGGCTGCCTGACTCCTCCCCCCTTCCATCAATGTAAACCCATGTCTGGTGCTAGTGCTGAAAGAGCAACAAGACTTTGATGATGATATTGTAGAGACAGTAAGTCAAAGCCGGGACCTTGACCTCCCATTAGGTAAGATCTCAAGTGTATGACAGAAGGCAGCATCAGCACCACCTGACCCCAGACTGGATCCAGTCAGAATAGATCCCCTGGGGATTCACATACTGCAGTGTGAGAATCACTGTTGTGAAAAACAAAACAAAAACTGCCTATAAACTAAAGCTGAAGACACTCAAGATCATTGATATTTTCATTGTATTCTCAATTTAAAAAAGAAATCTATCTAAAACATGAGGTGTGATGTAATAATAAAAATATTTATTAAAGTTACAGAGGAATAAATAGCTAATGGTGTAAAAAGGTTTCTAAAGCTATTCCTCGAGGATTAAAAAATTGTATGTAATTATCACAGGTGTCAGTGCTTCCCATGGTCCAGCTGAATAAAGACTGACGTGGTGGTCAAAGATCCCAGTGGTAACTTGGCCTAGCTCTAGACAGAAACATAAAATAAAAGACCTATTAAGCAGCCAAGGTTTAAGAGTCTTCACAAACCGCTCTGTATTCTAAAGCTGAAGATCAGTGGACTAAACTAATCGCATCAATTAAAACAGATTCTTTTTATGTTGCAAGTTTTGCTAGTGTTTTAGGCACTAAATGCTGACCAAAATGCACAAACTGAAATCAACTGCATTTGGGGTCAAACAAGCTCCCACCTCTGGCACTCTCCTCTTCTGTTCACTGCTCCACTGAACAACTTACTATCTCTGCCTCTGCTATAAAGAAAAGCTGGGCTTGAATCCTGGGTTGATTCCCCTGCTATAGGATTGTCAGCTACAGAGGCCTGTAAAATTGTCCTTCCTTGAAGTCTCGGTTGCCAAGAGCTTTGCACTAACAAAATTTCACAGGGTAAGGAAGAGAAGCAGAAAACGGTGACAGAATCAATCAGTTTTATGGTCAGATTCTAAACATGCTTGCAGAATGAAAAATGTACCCAGTTGGTAAGCCAAAAAGGTATACAGTGTATTCCATAAATATATTTCGTTAAATAATGCACACAAAGTTGAAGTAAATGAAGCACAAGAAAATAACTTACATGCACATTACCACGAAATAGGGCACAGTACCACTGACTTCCTACCTACTCTTCCTAGGAAGAAGAGAAGAAAAGGGTTTTTAAATAACTTCCTCTTCATTTTCACTTTTACACTTAAAATTTTAGGATGATTACAAAACAATGTGGTGACTCCATCAAGCTGCCTATGGGCTCACTGTCATTTGTTGTTGTCTCTTGGGGCTACTCCCCAATACACAGTCTGCCAGACAGTCTCCATCTTGGGGCTACTCCTCAATACACAGTCTGCCAGACAGTCTCCATCTTGGAGCACTCTACATGTTTAAAATCTTTTTATAGGCCCAGCCTCTTTGACCTACTTGACAATGACCCCATCACCCTGCCTGGCTCATGGTACGTACTGAATATTTCATTTGGTTATAGATTGGTCTTCCTATAGAAATATAGTGGTTTGCTGTGATGGTATAAGCACGTGTTGTCCTTGGATGAACAAGAAATCTCTGGCTTGCTTCTGAGACTAGTTTTGAGGTAGGCAACCAGGACTAAAATAGTACATTTTCCCTGAGGCTGGGTGAGATTACGATATATGACCTTGGCTTTCTGTCTGCAGATAATTAGCCTATTTCGGATAAGTCCCTGACCTCCCTGAGCTTCTTGTGCTTAGAAGAGTTGGTTCTGCCCCGGATTCAGAGCTCTTGGGGCCTCTCCCACTCTTCCTTAACCTGAGTTCTCTGTTTGCCTCTTTCCCCTCTCTCATCAGCCCTTCCCTTCCCGCCAGGCACCAATCTGGAAATAGTTTAGATGGATCCACTCAGAGGATGTGTTTCATAACATTGAAAATCCAATTGTGCAGGCTTTTCTCACACAATTATTTTTAAAACCATAGGTAAGAGGCAAAGGCTGAAGCCTAACTTTTAATGAGTAGACACTAAATTGTCATACCTTTAAGCAATGTTCCAATTCAGAAACAGGCTTCTCCTCCAAGATTAATTACCACTGTCTGACACTATTACCCATTGAAATGTTTTATAAGCCCACAATACCAAGAGTTTCAAAAGTGTCACACACCAGCAATTCCTATTACTGAAAACATGAATATGACAACTGAATGTAATGTTCATGGGGAAGCTGCCCCCAGGCCATTCTACCTGTCTCAGCTCCCCTCCAGCAGGGGCTGGTGAACATGGGCATTGACCTTGGCAGGACTACCTAGGACTTCCCTTAGGTTCAAGTTACTTTTAAAATACTTTAGAAAATAAGGCAGAGTTCTGTTGTCAACAACCAAATATGCTGCTTGGTGTCACCTCTTCTGTTTCCTGACACGCATTTGCATAGCAATTGCCAAAGAAAAGCTCTCTTTTCCCTTCTAATTGGGTTGAATTGCTCCTGGATCTGTCTTCCAGTCCCCAAAAGCAATAATGAGGGGGTGGAATACGTTAAGTTAAAAGGTAGAATTATTTAAAATACTCACAAACTGATTTGAATACCAGAGTGGGTGTCTCAGGGCTCTCTCCGTGTGTCTTTTCCTCCCCTTTTTTCCTCCCCTCCTTTTGAGTGTATTTTCTTGATCATGTTTTTGCTTACAGACCTGCAGTTATTTTTTCACTTTGCCTGAGAATGTGTAATAGTGCATACTTGTTATTGAATTGGGCTAAAATACAGGTAGGTGGGAGCCCCTACTTCTGGCAAGCTGGACTGAGAGAATTTTTACCCCTTCTCTTTGGCCACCCAAACCTAGGGTGTAGAGCAAAGAAAGGAGGGAGCTGACTTTAGAACTTGCTCTTGTCAAGTTTAGAAAGCTTGGGTTTCTAGTAGCCTTTCTTTCCTAACGTTTTGGTTCAGCAGGTGCAGTGATGAATAACTCTAATCCCAGGCCTCAAGAGTCAGCGTCAGGACATCCAAGCAGGCTCCAGGGTAACCTGCTTTATCTAACAAGCTCCAGGCCAGCCAGGGAAACATGGTGAGATCCTGTCTGAATAAGAAAAGAAAGAAATCATTTCCCCCTTTGTTCTTCTCCTTAGTCTTCCTTCTCAGGTTTTATTTATGGAATCCTTCTTGTAATTAGGGAAAATTATGGACAAATATGTTGTGAGGACATCTATGAAACCTGTCTTTCCCATGGGAATTTTCAACGTTTAGCTTAATTCACTATCCTAAGCATACTAGGTCAGAAACACAGAGAAACACACCTGAATCTTTCCATGACATCAGATTTTGTTGGATAATAATAAATTCATATGATAAGGCAGTAACTTGCCAGATATCCTCA